TCTGCCTCTCCTTCTTTCCCTGGGAGCAATCTGCTGCACCCTTAACGCTTCGGCTGCTTGTGCCCTAAATAATGATACAGCATTTGCCTGTGAAGCCAGGGAAGTTTTAATAGCAATGAAAAAAATACCTTCTTTGTCTGCTTCTCCTGGAATTTTAGCTGGTATAATATAACAAAGATAGACTGATACTCTGAACAGTGTTGTAATACAAGGAACTCCCAGCTCCCATCCACATAGTCTTTCCCTTTGAATCACAGTCATTTGAATATAGATTGAAATCGCATTAAGCTGCTGTAATGAAAAACAAATGTACTCCTTGGCTTGCTGCATTGGAGATGCTCAGGCACTTTGGGAGCGCTCTGGGCTGTGCAGGCGGCTGCGGGCACGGCCGGGCTGGGGCCAGGCAACCAGGTTTTTGTTTCTTTTCTGGAACTTCCTCCCTAAGGGCACCCCATGATGTCAGCGAGCGACGAGCGAGGCTGAGGCTGAGCGCGCCGCTGGCAGCTCCCAGCCAGGCTCGGCCTTGGAGGCACGGCCAGCAGCCGCAGGCAGTGAACAGGCTGCTCCTCTGCGCTGTGGCAGCTCAGAGCCTTTCCTGATACTCCACCAGCCCCTTAGGACCCAGCACCACCTATCAGAGGTCCAGCCTGTGCCTCAGGGTCCAGTCTGTCGGCAGGATGGTAGCCAGGGAGGGAATGGCACGATTTTGGAGTCTGGAGAGCCTTCAGATGGGTATGTGTGAGTAGAACATGCTCTCTCTCTCACTATTTCTTACAGTGTTTTTAGATTGAACTGATGAACTGTGGCAGTCAGGGGGTCTGACTCTGGTCGCACTTACACAGTGTCACCTGTGGGAGCCTGCAGCCTTACACCGGTGACAAAGCTGCCGGGAGATCAGAGTCAGTCCCAGGCTGGCTTTTAAGTTTTTGCACCCCACTGGAGCGATGGGGAGAGCCCACCCCTGCCTCTGATATTTTTGTCTGTAAACAATAGAGGAATAGATGCAGAATGCAAGCAGCTGATTTTCGCTCAAGTCTAACTAGGAAGACAATGTAAGCTTGTTGATTTGGTAAAGAATAATGAACAGTTAGCAGTCCCCAGATCGCAGTCATTTTTCATCTGGAACCAAATGAATTAGGTTATTTTGTTGTGCCGTTGTTACTGGAACAAGCCAACAGGCAGTACAGTGAAGATGTATAAAGGATTACTGGGATTAATTTTTTGGTGTTGTTTATAAGCTAAAAATTTAGTTAATTATTTATTTGCAGAATTTTTTAATAAAGCAGTTTCAGTAAGTTTCACAAGATGTATTTTAAAAGTTTATGAGTGCTCA